ATCGCTCAACATCGCCCCTATAAAATATTTACTCTTTTAGGCAGTTGTTCAAATAGTTCCACCACGACTGCCTAAATATATCCCAAAGTTTTAGGGAAGATAACCAGGCCACAGACACCTAGTGCAAAGAGATCGATTGCCTTTCACCCATCAGGGTGATTCTTCATTAACTACTTGATGTGAGTCTAAGCAATTCCTTCACCTTTGCCTTTGCGTTGAATCCGGTCAGTGACCCACTTTTCATCAACCCTTGCCACCTTTTCCAGCCCATCTTTGAAAGGTTGACTCTTGATATATTTGATTTAACACCCGATCTATTCTAATTCTTTCACAGTGTAACAGTGTGGTGTATTCCTCAATGGTGGGCACCATGTCTTCTTGGTTGAAGGTAAAGCAGCTGTATCCCAGATTCCAAAACTGTACAAGGCCTCGAATTAATGGTTCATCTACCTTTATGTAGAGCAATGGTGCGATATCACCGTATCGCTGACAAAACTTCTGTTTCCTGTCAGCTTTCCAACTGTCCCAAATATTATGCAATTCATGGGTATCATTTTGTTTGAGACTGATGGAAGCGTAGCCAACCATGTTTGACACATAGTTATCTTGCAGACTGTCTTCTTTTTCCTTCTAAGTCATTTCTGACCATAGTCGTACTTCTATATTCTTGACCTCTTGCATTATAACCCTTTTGTCAATTAATGCCAACTATGCGGGTTTAAACGAACATTTTTGTAGATCAACACCTCTTTAAATGATGCAATGATAAAAGTTAGAAATAAAACAAAAATGAAAGGAAATAAGTTAGTAAAATATAAATAGAAATCATAATCATAATGAAAATAAAATAAAAAATTTCTACCCCACATGATATTTACCCCACATATTTTATTCCTACCCGGCTATGATCTCTACCCCACATGTTATTTTCTTGAACAAATCCTAACCGCATAAATTTATAATTCGCATGCTTTAAACAAAAACTAAAGCAAGAAATAAATCAAGAAATAAATCAAGCATCCTAGGTTTTGAAATGGCGTTTTAGGGTGAGCTCTAATTCCTTGCAGCGTCATAGTTTGGTTGTAAAAAAATGTATTCGAGTTCTCCTTACTGGTGCCCTCTTGGGTCTGCCAGACCCTCAGTCCTAAGCCCATCACAAACTCATGTGGACCAAGTTAAACTTGAGAGGATACATTCCCTTATATCTATACGGAGAATAAATTCACACGAAACATAAGGTATATGAATCCCGAAGGTTACTTGCTAGGCCTATACGGAGAATAAATTCCCATGAAGGCATCACTTTCACCTCCACTTAAAAAGGGTTTGGAGCCTAAGATATAATTTTGAAAAATTTGAAATCATTGAAAAAACATCAGTACAACTATTTATTCAAAAAATAAAAATCAAAAGTAAATAAAAAGGATCTAAAGGATAAATTCGAATTTAAACTTACAATTTTGCTTAAGAAGATAACCAAAAATTAATTTTGGTCTGACTCACTTACCCTCCCAAGGAGCCGCCAAGCTGTCGTAACCGTCATTCGGGTAGGCCCGAAATCAGGTTTCTACTAAATTTTGATGTGTTGGAGCCGCCACCGATCATTTAAAATTAGGTTAATCGGATACCTTGACTTACCATTTGTCTGATTTGCGTTTTCCAGAAATTAATCAGATTCGGGAGTCGATTACAATCAATGAAGGATTAGCACCCTTGTACTGCCCTTTCAGTACCAATTTAATTTTTCGGTTGTCTTAATTACGAAAATTACAAGTTAAATTAAAATTAATATTTAAAATTTGATCTGAATTACTTACATTTTATCAATAAAAATGGTCCTAAAAAACAAAGCCAAATGAATGTTAAATAATAAAATAAATAAAAGAATAAAAGGAAATTTTAAATTTAAAGGATTAAATTACAAAAATTTAAAATCAAGGATTAAACTGATATTAATTGAATGTTGCAAGGAAAGAAAACGTAAATTAAGGGGTTAAATTGCAAAGATACAAAAAAATATATAACAAGGATTAAATTGAATTAATTCAAATTTTAAGGATAAATCTACTACAAGTGACCAAAATGAATTACGCATCAAAATATCAGGGACTAAATTTTAGTATTTACACAAAGGTCTTCCCTATAAATAGCCCATAAAACTCAAAAAATCATTTCATCCAATTTCTAAAAATAATCTCCCACTCTCTCTTAAAAATGTTCTCAACTCATCCCAACCGACCAATAGTCGGCCACCGCTCCCGCGTAGACAACCGACGTTGCCCCGCCACTCCAGTAGCCAGAAATTCCTAAAATTACCTCAAAACACTCCCTTCAACACTCCGAAACCGAATCCGAATTCCAATCGCTCAACATCCCCTAAACGACGTAGATCTAAACTTTTAGGTTTAAATATTTACCTTTAAAATCATCGTCTCTTGAGTTTCGGTGACCTTTCTTTTCCTGGCGAGGCTCTTGCTTATCTCGACCGATGTTTTTTCTTAAGTCTCGATGGGTATTTCAAATATGTGTGTTTTGGGTTGCTTCGATGGATTTTACTTGCCTTTCTTGGTTATTTTTGTGCTAGCTTTGTTTTCTTTGTAGATTTCACCTTTCTGTTGTTGTTCATTGTTGTGCTCTTCGATTTCTTTTCGTGTCTTGTTTGGATGATTCTCAAGGTTTTTATAACCCTGCCGATGGTGGTAGTTACCGATTAAAATGGGATGGTGTAGTCATGATTTTGTCAGGATGCTCGATTATGGCTGATTTTTTGGCATTTTTCTCGACTTTGGATGCTTCGTCGCTACGTGGCTGTTGTTCAGTCGGTGGGTACCTTTAAGTTTTCTCGATCCACCGTTGGATCATTTTGACCAGATCCAACGGCTTTCACTCCTTTGTGGCGCTGGTGTTAGGGTTGAAATCCTAGTTGTTTTTTATCTGGACCATTGATCTATCCTCGATCTTACGGTCGTAAACCGTATGGCACGCCTGGTTAGACACGAAACCCTAATCCTCTGTTGGGTCAGACAGATGGGTTTGGGCTTTCCACTGAGTTGGCTTGTTGATTCGGTTGGGCCGAATTTGGATCTTACCTTTGGCTTTTCTTTTTGGACTCTTTGGACCCGGATTTGGACTTTTATTGGACCATTTGAACCTAAAAATGAAAAAGATAAAAAGAAAATAAATAATAATAACAAGCTTATATATATATATATATTCTAAAAACTATATAATATATTATATTTTTAAAATTATATAATATGTTTTCAATATATATATATATATATATTACATATGTTTTTCAAAAATTATATATTTCAAAATATAATAATATGTTTTTTTTTAAAAACTATGCTAGATATTTTCAAAAACTATATATTATATATGTTTTAAAAAACTATACCATATGTTTTTAAAACTATATTATATATTTTCAAAAACTATATTATGTGTTTTTTTAAAAAAACTATATAACATGTTTTCAAAAACTACACCATATGTTTTTAAAAACTATACTATATATTTTCAAAAACCATATATTATTTTTTTGACAAAACTATATGTTATATGATATAAAAAATAAAATAAAGTCTCGGACGAAAATGAGTGTCTATAGGAGTCATCGACGACCATCGTTTATGGAGTGAAAGGCTTCTGGCGCATGCTAACAGCGAGTGAATTTATTCTTCACTGATACAATTTGAGAACTATCAATAGATTTTAAGAACTCTGGATAATTTATTCTCCCTTGTATCCCTTCCTTCAACTTAAGATCGCATCAAAATATGGTATGAATTTGAAAGATATGTCTCTTAGATATACTAGATGAGGATCCATGAATACACTATTTGTGTTACTCTTCAAAAGTTTACCTGAAAGTAAGGAGCCGATAAAACTTGAAATGAATGACAATAAAGTTTATAAGTATTTTTCAACTGGACCTTATATGCGACAATGAGAGATTCATAGAGTTGAATAATCAGTGCCAAAACACTCAACTGGATTTTATATACGACGATGACGTGAGTCGAATATTCTTGTACCTTTTATGGTTTATTGTTTATGTTTTGTTTTGTTCTTATGTCTGCATGTTTTCAACGGGAGAAGCTTTTTACTTCTCAAATGAAACATTTGTTTTAGCCTATAAATGGCCAGCACCCTTACATTCCATGTTACCACTAGAATTCACTCACTGGAAGCGTTTGTCAGAAGCCTTTCACTCCACAAATGATAATTGTTGTTGATTCCAACAAACCTCCTCAACTAAACTCGTCAATAATTCGTCTCTAACGACCTCCGTGGATGAAGGTGTTGTGGTTCAAAATACAAAGGTGGACAATATGAAGGATTTGGTTAAAGATATAGGGGAAGATGAGTTTGGGATGTCTGACACGACATTGAGTGATGATTTCTTCAATTGTTTAGAAGGAATTGCTGAAAGGGTCGCCGTTGTTGGTCTTATAATTTTTCGGCTAGTTTCGACCTTCCTTGGATTACTAACAATGCGGCTACTGTTGCTAGTGGCATACAAAACTTACCCGTCTTTTTTTCTTTTTCACCTTTAATTCTTATATGTGTCATATACCTTTAATTCATTTGAAGAGTTGATCACTCTTTAGTATGGAGGTCAACATTCCAGGTAAATGATTAATGGGTTAGGTAAGATTCACATTACTCACACTAACGAAGGGTAACGTTAAGTGATCGATTTGTTAAAATCTATAAAATTAGTGACTAATAGTTTACTTTTAAAATTTTAGTAAAAAATCTAAAATTTATTCAAACATTAATGACATGTGTAGTTTACTCATTATTTAATTAGTTAAATTAAAAATCAATTAAATTAAAGTAATTGATTTAAGTAATTAAAATCCAGGTAAAAATCAGACCATTTACGAAATCTAATCCCCCATATTCAAACGGGTTCCACGATTGACAATCCGCATACGATTTCACCACCTATCTTACATTACAAAAGACAAAAATTAGTTGCGTATCCAATTTTTGACTGGAAAACGTCACTGCAACTCCAAAACCACGCCGTCTCAAAGTAAAAGCAAAACTCTTATGGCCACCGCCGCCGCCATTTCCCTCTCTCTCCCGCCACAAACTCGCCGTCTATCCGCCTCGATCGCCGCTCCTCTTCGATCAATTTGTTCTCTTCATTTCGATTCCCTCCGTTCCAACTTTTATTCTCTTAGAAACCCCAACTTTCGAGTCGTCGCTTCTTCCATGAGAATCGGAACTCCGGAGGAAATCTCCACGACGTCGTTCCTTGACCGAAAGGAAAGTGGGTTCCTTCATTTCGTCAAGTATCACGGCCATGGAAACGACTTCATTTTGGTAATTTCCCTTAATAATTTCTATTGTAGCTTAGAAAATTCTGGGAGAAAGTGCCTTAGCTAAACTCTTGTTTATTGACATAGGTTGATAATAGGGACTCGACAGAACTGAGGATTACGCCAGAGCAAGCGGTGAAGTTGTGCGATAGGAACTTTGGTATAGGTGCTGACGGAGTGATTTTTGCGATGCCGGGAGTCAACGGTACATATTATACTATGCGAATCTTCAACTCTGATGGCAGCGAGCCTGAGGTAATCAGCTTTTTCTTTTTGAAAAGTTGCTAGAAGAAGTATATGTCAGTGAATAAATTTGATTGAAATTGAAACAGAACATTAAATGTAAACACAAGCTGAAGTTGAAAGCAAGTTTTTGATAACTATTACATACCTTACAGGCAGTTATTGTTTTGTGTCAAGCCTGGGGAGTCTAGTTAGTTATATTAAGGAGACAGCTAGCAGTTTTGGTTTTATCTTGTTTAAGCATGCCTTGAGATATGGTAATTAACTGGGCCATCATTTAGCTAAATATGAATTTTTAGGTACTGAGAATCAGTTGACATGGTGCCATATTTCACCATTTTGTTTTGGTACGTGGCTTTGTATTGATTCATCTATTATTAATGAATTGCGCCCATGACAGAGGCACTCTTTTCCACTTGTTGTCTCTGGAGAGTGTTTTTTAATGGGGCATCCTTTTCATAAAAAAAGTTTGAAATGTATAATTCATTTATTGAAGAATATACTTTGTCAATTTTGAATCAAAATGCTTTTTTCCCTTTTCTATCAAAACTAAAATCTAGTTGTCGTAACCGGTTTTCGTCCGGGCACGAAATATTTATTTGGCGGGAAATTGATGTGAATAAATGGTTTTTAAAATAATTTGGGAGTCGCCATCGGCCTTTTGGGTCAGGTAGGTCGAATACCTAAAAATCATCCTTTAAAAGAGTTCTTAAGAAAACATCGATTAAAAGATAAACTGATCTGCGTTTTAACCAAAAATTCGTTCTTTTTAATAATAAAAAGGGATTCGTGGTCGGTTACGTTTAGGGAAGGATTAGCATTCTTATAACGCCCAAAATTGGTACTTTTTAATTATAAATTGTCTCTATTATTAGAAATTAAAAAATTCAAAATATATTTAACTATTATTATTTCAAATTTATAATTTTAAGAAAATATATTAATTTATATAAATAAGATATTTATTTATTTAGAAATATCAGAAAAGGGCTTCTAGGTGCTTTAAGACAGCTCATTTCTTTGATATAAAAATAAATAAAACATTTATTAAAAGTTAATATAGGATTTATAAAAAATAGGATATTTAGTAAAAATATCAGAAAACATACTTTTAGGTGTTTTAAGACAGTTATTTTCTTAATATTAAAAAATAAATATATATTAAAATATGATTATTAAAAGTAATTTATGAAATATAGGATTTTAATAGAAAAAAAATAGAATAAATAAAAAAATATTATTATATATATATTTATTTATATAAAAATAATAATAATGAAATAATAATTAAAGTAATAATAATAATAAAATAATATTGCAAATAATGATTAAAATAAAAGGAATTAAAAATATAGTATTAAAATGTAAAATATTAAAAATAAATAGTCAAAAATGAAAATTTAATGATTAAAATGTAAAATTATAAAACTAGAGTCCTAATTTGAAATATATAAAAGGTGGGCATTAAAAGTGTAATTTAACCATAATTCATAATATGGGATTAAAATAATAATTACTAAACTATGAGGACTAAATTTGATATTTACCTAAATATATATATATATATGCTGATAAGGACTAAATTAAAATAAAATAAAATTAGAAGACTAAATTAAAATAATCAAAAATTGCTTTCAGTGACTAAATTGTAAGGTATACAAACTTGGAGCACTGTGGACGGGGTTTACCCTTTATGAAATTACAGAAATACCCTCCCCAAAACGGCGTCGTTTGGGAGAGGGTATTTAAATACCCGAGACGGCTGGCCCTTCGGGCCAGCTCTCTCATTTCTTCATTCCCTCTTCTCTCTCAAAACTGAGAGAGCCAGAGTTCTCTCTGGCTTCTCTCTAAAACGAGAGAAACGCAACCGGTCAGCCATCGCTGCCGGGCTCCGACCACCGCTGCCGGCCACCGTTAACGGTGGCCGGAAATTACAAAACCCACCCCAAATCGAAGCCTCTATTTTTCTATACCCGAATCTAAGGTTGTTTTAGCTTAAAACCTTACCAATCGTCGTAGATCTAAGATAGTTCTCTTCGACGTTTCGGTTCTCCGGTGGCTTGTAGAGGCTCCTCTTTGGTAAGTTGCTTTCCCGTTTCTTCTTTATTTTTTTTTTCTGGTTGTTGCTATGGTTGTTTTGTTCTTTTCTTGCTCTCTCCTCCTCTCTGTCTTCAGGCGAACCGAGGCTTTATAGCCTTGTCGAGACGTTCATCGGACCGGGTAATGGAATGGCCCTCAGTGAGTCACCGAACTATGGTGGTGACTCACCATAGGGTAGCAACGTGGATGGCTCAGTGGCACTTCTGGAGGCTTCTTTGAGGGCGGCGGCAGCTGGAACGTCGACGTGGGGCGGCTGAAAACATATGAAGGCGATAGTTGGGGTTTTCTGAAAGCAGCGGCGGCTGGGACGTGGCCCTAGGGTTGTGATACCCTAGGGTTTCCTCTGGAAGCTTCTGAACCGTTGGATCTTACCAGATCCAACGGTTGAGGTGGAGGCGGCTACTGGTGATGATATAAACCCTAGATGGGTTTAGGGTTACTGTTGAGCCATCTGGGTTTGGGTTTGGTCTCTTGTAACTGGGCTCGTCTGGGTTGGGCCGAACTTGGCCTGTTTGTAATAATAATAATATAATAATAATAATAATAATATTAAAACAAAATAATAATAATAAATAAAACAAATGAAATAAAAAACTAGTGTCTTCAGCTGCCTCTCTTTGTTCATTCTTGTGTTAACGAGAATAGGACAAAGACTAAAGGACAATAAGTTTTTTTTTCATTTGACTTCACTTGATTAAGATGGTAATGTTGAACAAAATCTTCTTTGAGATTAGTTCTTCTCATTATGAATTTTTTCACTGGGGATGATAATTTGTCTCCTTTTGTAATGTAATTTAGCAAAAAGTTAACAAGTTCTTCTCATTATGAACTCTTTCACTGGGGATGATAATTCATCTCCTTCTGTGATGTAATCTGGAAATGTTGATGCTGATCTATCTCCTTCTGTGATAGAATCATGCAAAAGATTGAACAAGTTCTTCTCATTATGAACTTCTTCTTCCTTCTTCAGATGAGTTCTTCTCATTATGAATTCTCTCTGGAAAAGTTGATCCATCGAGTGATGAATTCGAGCAAAAATTTGAACAAGTTCTTCTCATTATGAACTTCTTCTTCCTCTTCAGATGAGTTCTTCTCATTATGAATTTCCTCTGAAAATGCTGATCCATCAAGTAATGGATTTGAGCAAAAGGTTGAACAAATTCTTCTCATTATGAACTTCTTCTTCATTCTTCAGATGAGTTATTCTCATTATGAACTTCTGGCAATGTTGATGCTGATCCATCGAATGATGAATTCAAGCGAAAAGTTGAACAAGTTCTTCTCATTATGAACTTCTTCTTCCTTCTTCAGATGAGTTATTCTCATTATGAACTCGACCTGGCAATGCTGATCCATCGAATGATGAATTCAAGCGAAAAGTTGAACAAGTTCTCATTATGAACTTCTTCTTCCTTCTTCAGATGAGTTCTTCTCATTATGAACTCGACCTGGTAATGCTGATCCATCGAATGATGAATTCAAGCGAAAAGTTGAACAAATTCTTCTCATTATGAACTTCTTCTTCATTCTTCAGATGAGTTCTTCTCATTATGAACTTTCTCTGGAAAAGCTGATCCATCAAGTGATGGATTTGAGCAAAAGGTTGAACAAACTCTTCTCATTATGAACTTCTTCTTCCTTCTTCAGATGAGTTCTTCTCATTATGAACTCTAACTGGCACTGCTGATCCATCGGGTGATGGATTTAAGCAAAAGGTTGAACAAATTTGTTGAAACATTTTAAGATTTCGATATAACAAATTAAGTTAAATGAATTTTAAGATTTTCCAAATGATTTTCTAAGTATATTCGATATAACTATTCGAATATCAAAACATTACTCCAAATATTTCAAAAATCATTTTTGATCCTTACTTAAGTGTAAAATTAAGTTTTAATCATAAAACAATTTCAAAATATTTTACAAAGTATTTCGAACCAATTCAAAGCCAAAAATTCCAGAATACTCAGAGGGAACCGATTCCCCCCCATAGGAGGAACCGATTCCCCCTGAATGGTTTGGCTCCGAGATTTCCAGAATGCTCGGAGGGAACCGATTCCCCCCAAGGGGGTACCGATTCCCCCTTGTTCAACGGTCGAAATATTTGAATTTTACACTTAGGGAACCGATTCCCTATGAGAGGGAACCGATTCCCCCCACTGTCCAAGCTGTTTTATTAAATGTTTTCACACTAAAACGGCTATAATATCTTCTCTAATTATCCCCAACGTTCAGAAGTGATCCAAGGTGTATTTAAGCAAGCTTAGAAGCCATTGATCAAAAATAAGAAACATCAAGCAACTAGAATCAAGAGAGAATCAAAGAGAAAGCATCAAACCTCAAGTTTGAGCATTTCAAGCCCATTTTCATTCAATATTCATTTTGCTTTCAAGAACACTTTTTGTGCTCAATTGTATTCATCTTTGAGTGTTCTTTTCTTTGTTCTAGAATTGTGCAAACATCTTACCTTGTGAGGTTTTCTTGTAAGTTTGCAAATTTGTAATCTTCTCTTTGAGAAAAGAGTGTTCTCAAGAGTTGGGGTATACTCTTGAGGGAATTGTAAGGTTATCTCTTTGGCCTCAAAAGAAAGAACAAATTAGTGAATTTGTTGGAAAATCCTTAGTGTGGATAGCTAAGGTAGTGGACGTAGACTTTGTTTGAGAAAGTCGAACCACTGTAAATCGCTGTGCAATTGCTTTCAATTTTCTGCAAAAGCTTCCACAAAATTTTTATTGCCAATTCACCCCCCTCTTGGCCAATTTCGTCATTCGATTAACTCAACAATTGGCATCAGAGCCTAACTCATTTGAAGGTTTAATCGCCTCTTGAGTCGATCCGGGAAGAGTTACATCGATTACAAAGTCATCAATGGCCTCCACTTCAAACTTCGACTCCGGTCTTGATTCGATGCCCGTCAACAAGCCTCCTTTCTTCAATGGAGCTAACTATGCCTATTGGAA